CCCGGTGGCCTCTTGGGACGCCTCTTGGGGGCCTCATGGGGCTTCTTGGGAGGCTCTGGGGGCCTCCTGGGAGCGTCTTGGGGCGAAAGGCTAGACTGTCAGGTTCGTGGTCCCCCTCTTGGGGCCGTCTTGGCGCCCTCTTGGGCCGTCTTGGGCGCCTCTTGGGCCGTCTTGGGGCCCTGTTGGGCCGATTTGGGGGCCTCTTGGGAAGCTCTTGGGCCGTCTTGGGGCGGTCTTGGGGGCCTCTTGGGCCGTCGTCAACGCCGTGAAAGCCGACAAAGCGCATATGCGGAAAATGCACGTTTTCCTTGCGGGAAATCGATGATTTCGGCCTCTTGGCGCCCTCTTGGGACGCCCTTGGGCGCCTCTTGGGGGCCTCTTGGGGGCCTCTTGGGACGTCTTGGGCGGTCTTGGACTCTCTTGGAGCGCTCTTGGGCCGTCTTGGGGGGGAACCCGAAAAACATGCAAAAACCCAGAGGAAAAAACCCGAAAACGGCCATTAACACTCATTTGCTCGCGCTACCCCCCTCCTCTGGAACCCCTCCCTTTAGGGCTTCGCCCACACCAGAACGTCATCACTCGTACCTCGCTCTTTCCGTTACCTGGCCTGGCACAGAAACGGAAAGAGCGCTTCAGAAACAGAAACCGAAATGACTCACACCACCGTTCGTACCGGGAGCCTTGGCGTTGAGAGCTTGTTACGTCACCCCTCGCTCTTGGAAGCCTTGATATTCAGAGATTGTTGCGTTGCCGCCCGTTCCTGAGCCTTGGCTGGGCCTTGGTGTCAGGAACTTGTTACGTCACCGCTCTCTGCTGGGGGGGCCTCTTGGGAGCCTCTTGGGCTGTCTTGGGGCGGTCTTGGGGGCCTCTTGGACCGTCGTCAACGCCGTGAAAACCGAAAAGCAGTGCATGCTAAAAGTGTACAATTTTTCCCAAAGGAAGTCAATGATTTTCGCCTCCTGGTGGCCTCTTGGAACGCCGCTTGGGGGCCTCCTGGGGCTTCTTGGGGGGCTCTGGGAGCCTCCTGGGGGAGTCTTGGGGCGAAAGGCTAGACTTTTCGGTTCGTGGTCCCCCTCTTGGGGCTGTCTTGGGGCCCTCTTGGGCCGTCTTGGGCGCCTCTTGGGCCGTCTGGGGGCCCTCTTGGGCCGTTTTGGGGGCCTATTGAGAGCCTCTTGGGCCGGGGCGGTCTTGGGGGCCTCTTGGGCAGTCGTCAACGCCGTGAAAGCCGAAAAGCCGTATATGCGAAAAATGTACGTTTCCCTTCGGGAAATCAATGATTTTGGCCTCTTGGAGTCCTCTTGGGACGCCCCTTGGGCGCCTCTTGGGGGCCTTTTGGGGGCCTCTTCGGCCATCTTGGGCGGTCTTGGGCTCTCTGGGAGCGCTCTTGGGCCGTCTTGGGGAGGAACCCGAAAAACCTGGCCCGGCACAAAAACCGAAAGAGCGCTGCAGCAACAGAAATCGAAATGACTCATGCGTTGCCGCCCGTTCCTGAGCCTTGGCTGGGCCTTGGTATCAGGAACTTGTTACATCACCGCTCTCTGCTGGGAGCCTGGGTCGCATCAGCTTGTTTACGTCACCGTCCGCTCTTGGGAGCCTTGGTGTGAAGAGCTTTTTGCATTACCGACCGCTCTTGGCGTCTCTGGGCCTTCGTGGCAGTCCTAATGGGGACTTTTTCGGGCTCTCCTGGTGGCCTCTTCGGGGCCTCTCGGGGGCCTCTTGGGACTTCTTGGGGGTCTGTGGGGGCCTCCCGGAAGCGTCTTCGGGCGAAAGGCTAGACTGTCAGGTTCGTGGTCCCCCTCTTGGGGCCGTCTGGGGGCCCTCTTGGGCCGTCTTGGGCGCCTCTTGGACCGTCTGGGGGCCCTCTTGGGCCGTTGTGGGGGCCTCTTGGGAGCCTCTTGGGCCGTCTTGGGGCGGTCTTGGGGGCCTCTTGGACCGTCGTCATCGCCGTGAAAGCCGACAAGCCGTCCATGCTAGAAATGCACTTTTCCTAGAAATATATATATATATATATATGATTGTGGCCTCCTGTTGGCCTCGTGGGACGCCTCTTGAGGGCCTCTTGGGGCTTCTTGGGGGGCTGTGGGGGCCTCCCGAGAGCGTCTTGGGACGATAGGCTAGACTTTGCGGTTCGTGGTCCCCTCCCTCGGGGCCGTCCTGGGGCCCTCTTGGGCCGTCTTGGGCGCCTCTTGGGCCGTCTGGGGGCCCTCTTGGGCCGTTTTGGGACCTCTTGGGAGCCTCTTGGGCCGTCTTGGGGCGGTCTTGGGGGCCTCTTGGGCCGTCGTCAACGCCGTGAAAGGCGAAAAGCCGTATATGCTAAAAATATTAGGTTTTCCTTTGGAAAACCGATGGTGTTGGCCTCTTGGGGCCCTCTAGGGACGCCCCTTGGGCGCCTCTTGGGAGCCTCTTGGGGGCCTCTTGGGCCGCCTTGGGCGGTCTTGGGCGGTCTTGGGCTCTTCTGGGACGGAAGAAAAAAGAAATCCGAAAAACTGGCAAAAACCCGGGAGGGGGAAACAAACAAACAAACAAAAAACTGCCATTAGAGCCCATCCGGGCGCGGTACGCCCCCCCCTGGACCCCCCCTTAAGGGGCTTCGCCCAACACACAACGTCATCGCTCGTACCTCGCTCTTTCCGTTACATGCAAAACCTGGCCCGGCACAGAAACGGAAAGAGCGCTTCAGAAACAGAAACCGAAATTACTCACACCACCGTTCGTACTGGGAGCATTGGCGTTGAGAGCTTGTTACGTCACCCCTCGCTCTTGGGAGCCTTGGTGTTCAGAGATTGTTGCGTTGCCGCCCGTTCCTGAGCCTTGGCTGGGCCTTGGTGTCAGGAACTTGTTACGTCACCGCTCTCTGCTGGGAGCATTGGTCTTATCAGCTTGTTTACGTCACCGTTCGCTCTTGGGAGCCTTGGTGCGAAGAGCTTTTTGCGTTACCGATCGCTCTCTATTTGGCGTCTCTGGGCCTTCCTGGGAGTCCTATTGGGGCTCTTGTCGGGCCCTTTTGGAAGCCTCTTGGGAACCTCTTGGGGGCCTTTGGGGGCTTCTTGGGGGGCTCTGGGGTTCTTGGGACGAAAGACTAGACTTTTCGGTCCGTGGTCCCCCTCTTGGGGCCGTCTTGGGGCCCTCTTGGGCCGCCTTGGGCGCCTCTTGGGCCGTCTTGGCACCCTCTTGGGCCGTTTTGGGGGCCTCTTGGGAGCCTCTTGGGGGCCTCTTGGGGCGTCTTGGGCGGTCTTGGGCTCTCTTGGAGCGCTCTTGGGCCGTCTTGGGGGGGAACCCGAAAAACATGCAAAAACCCGAGGGTGAACCCGAAAACGGCCATGAACACGCAGTTGGGCAATCCTCGCCCCCCTCTGCACTCCCCCTAAGGGGCTTCGCCCACACCAGAACGTCATCACTCGTACCTCGCTCTTTCCGTTAACCCGAAAGAAAACCCGAAAACGGCCATTAGACTTTTGCACTCGCCCCTCCCCCCCCTTGGACCCCCCCCTCGTAAGGGCTTCGCCCACACCAAAACGTCATCATTCGTACCTCGCTCTTTCCGTCACCAGGTATGCCAGTTAAGCAGAGACTCGCGAGTAAGTATGGTGGGGCACGCTCGTAGAGAGGTGTAGAAAGAGAGCGCGCGGTGCTATTCCGACTATCTCGCAGCCCAATCAGCTGCGGTCCACGGGATGACCAAGGTCAACTGTCGGTGGCGGCGGCGGCCAGCGGGCGACAGCAGGGACGGAACCATGTTAACTGTCCTCCATCTCTCATATGCTGGGGCAGTACACGTGAATGGAAAACGAAGCGCTGGAGCTCTACGTATCAGAACACCTAACGAGCCAGATAGCACAGTGCGACGATGATGGCGACATGCAACACATGAGGTCTGCATGCATGGAGTGGCTATTCAAAGCAATGGCCTGGGTCATCTGTCCTGGAGCATATTGGGCGTTTGGCTTGTCGGCAAAAGGAAGGAGCCCCACGCCACTCCATCGACTCTATCGGGAAATCATAACATTGAGGGCTGATCCCTTGATGCGCGGGCACCACTACCGGGGTCGCTCGTTCACAATATCTACCAAGTCGGGCCCTTCCCTGCTCTATGCGCGGGTATGCTCCTCTGAGCGCTTCCACAACATTGGCGTTAGCGGCTGCAGGTCGCGCTGTCTTTGCACACGCGGACACCGCGCGAGTACTTGCAGGGCAGGCCGCAAGTGTGCGGGTGGTCCACGGATCCGTTACTGTGCACATGCGCATCTGCATGCGCTTTGCAGTGGCCACACGCGGCCCACCAGGAATGAGCCGTTCCTACTGGCCAGTCTTGCGCTGGCGCGAGCGCCACTCTGGGCTTTCTCTCGGAGCCTGATCTTCCTCTGCACGCTCACGCCGCAGCACACGCGGGAAGATTGGCGCAGCACCTGAACGCAGGGGTTAGCGGTGCGAGTGGCAACATGGAGTACTGCGATGCTTGCGCTCCCGACATGTCGTGCCAGAAGTGCCTGCCCTCGGGCGATTAAGTCCGAATCATTGACCCGCTGTGACCAGCTGCGTCGTTTGCGTGGCTATCGTCGCGGCCGCGGAGCTTGGCGACCGTTGAGTTTTCCACGGAGTCCTGACACCACCTTTTGATGGGTGTGCGTGGGGTCCTCGCCAGTTCACGCTCGTCCTCCGAGTCGGACAACTGCCACCTCGACGTTGTGATGGTCATGTCCAGGGCCAGGAGGCGCCTCCAGCTCCAGCTAACCAGCAGGGCCAGGAGTACAGCAGCGCCTCTAGAACTGAATGAGGGCCAGAGCCTCTGGTGCCAAACCGGTAGCAAAATTTGGGTGTGCCGCGAAGCCTCGTGCTTCTCCGAGCTCTTGAGCCAGAACGGTTAGTTAATCACAGAGGAGGGAGGCGGCTCGCCCTCCAGCTCCAGTGCTGCCTCATGCCTCCCTCCTCACCGTAATCCCCTCTCCTTCCTGTATCCCTCCTCCCTTCGGCTCATGGCGACCATCCAAGATGCGCTTTCTGGAAGACCGAAAGCTCGCTCTCCAGCTGCAGCTCCCGGCGCTTCAAGCGCCCGGCTCGCTCGTAGTCCTCCGCGCCCGCCGCCTGGCGTTTCTCCGCCCTCACGCGCCCCAGCTCGGCGAGCAAGGCCTCGGGGGGCGACTCCGCCCCAGCCTCCAGCGCGGGCTCCGGCAGCGGCGCCCGCGCGCGCGGGGCGCCCGCCAGCGCCCCTCGGGCGGCGCATGGCGGCTCCGGGCGGACCACCTCCGGGATGGCGGCGCCCGGCCCGCAGAGGCCGGCGGGTCCTTCCCTGCACGCGCGCGAGTCCGCGAGCGTGCCCTCGTCAGCTACACGCAAGGGTGGCCGGCCCTACCAGCAACAGTGACCTTTGATGCGCGGCTCTCTGGGGCCGCAGGGCGGGTCTGATCCCGACACGCAAGCCAGAACTGGGTGACTCATGTGGGCCTGCACCGAAAGGTCACTCTGGCGAAGGCCCACTCTTACGCGTATTGAGCCGACCTCGGCCGCCGCTAGGTGTCCTGGGTCGACGCCGACAGCCGCCGCCTCCTGCAGTGCCGCCTGCAGCGCCGCCTCGTCGTCCGCGGTCGCTGCGCCCGCGAGCACCAGCGCGGCCAGGAGTTCGCGCGCCCCCGACAGCTGCTGCAGACATGCTGCGCGGCGCTGCTCGCGGCGCCCCTCGCGCCGAGCACTGGTGGCGCTGGCGCCAACTCCATGGCCGCCGACCCCCGCGTCACCCTCACAGCCACAGGCGCTGGCCCGGGAAAGCGAGTCATCGTCCTTCGGTAATAACGCGCAAGAGTGACCCTATAGGCGGCTTTAGGGAGCCGGAGGGGTGGGCCAAACCCAGGCGCGCAGGTCAGTGATGGAGGACCTCTGCTGTACATCCGCACCAAAGGCAAGGTCACTCGAACGAAGGGTCACTCTTGCGCGTAACCGACTCCTCGGCCTCCAGGGTGACGGCCACCCGGTTGCCGAACTTGGGGTCCGCGCCAAGTGAGAAGGACACCGCGTCGCCCACCGAAAAGCCCGCCAGCTCCGCTGCGGCCACCGCGACTGGCCCGCCCAGGCCCCGGCACGCGATCCTGCCCATCCCCACCCGTGCGTTGAAGTCCTGTACGACGCCCACCAGCCGCCCGCCGGCCAGCAGGCTGGCCGCCTGCGCCGCTGGCCAGCGCGGCCGAGTCGGCGGGCGTGGCACCGGCGGCGGGCCCCGCGGCAGCGGGGCGCCCGCGGCAGAGGCGGCGAGCGGCGGGCCCCGCGGCGGCGGAAGGGCCCGGGAGGCGGCGGCGGGCCGCGGCGCCCCCTGGAGTCGCCGCCACTCCTCCTCCAACTCCTCGGGCGGGCGGGGGGGGCGGGCATCCTTGTTTTCTGCTCCGGCTGGCTGGCGGGCGGGGTGGGGCAAATGGACGGAGGCCGATGGGACTGGCTGGGCAGGGAGGAGGCAAAGGAGGAGGAGGAGAAGGAGGATCAGAAATAGGAGGCGGGTAAGGAAAAGGGCCCGCGGAAAAGGCAGCGGGCCCCAAAGGGAGGCGGGCATGCCCACGCTGGCATTTGCGAATAGCCACCCGTACAGCCCATGCGAACGCTAAAGAAGTCGCCAGCCTCCCATGTAAGAGTGGCACGACTGCGCGGGCCCCACGTTTTTTGCAATGTATCAGATGAGTGATCAGCTATCCGAGGCTGCGGCTTAGCATGATCACCAGCTTGGCAATCAGTACTTACCTCTGCTAAACTCATCCTCGGACATCAAGAAACTAACAACTTAAACTGTGGTCGGTGCATGTACCAAAACATACATGGCTGGAAAAGAGGTACCCTCTCGTGACCATGTGCACTAAACCGGAGGGACACACTCCCCAGAACGTGTGATATGAAAGAGACGACAGCCGCCGCGACTATGTCTAGTATGCCTCTTGGTGATCGGGACACAAACATGTACATGCACACACGACGTGTACATGCATGAGGTCATGTATATACAAACATGCATGTCTGCACACGTACATGGATGTATGCATACATGCATGCATGCATGCCTGCATACGTATGTACGTACATGCATATATATACACAAACATGAATGCATGTGTAAACATACATATAGATGTACAAACATATACATACATACATACATACATACATACATACATACATACATACATACATGCATGCATGCATGCATACATACAAACATACATACATACATACATACATGCATACATACATACATGCATACATACATACATTTATGCATACATACATACATACATACATGCATGCATGCATGCGTGCATGCATACATACATGCATACGTGCATGCATGCATGCATGCAGACATACACACATACATACATACATATATATATATATATATATACAAGCATGCGCACATATATACATACAGCCATGCATGCATACAGACAAGTATGCATACAAGCATATATATAAATACGCATGCGCATACGCATACATGTACAAATGTGTATGTATATACACGCATGCATGTATACAGACGTGTATACACACATACATACAGACAGAATACATCGATATATACATATGTCACCTATACGTACACAACTACATGCATACATGCATACCTTCACATATGCATGCATGCAGACGTGCATGCATTCGTATACACACATACACACATACATACATACATACATACATACATACATACATGCATACATACATACTAGATCCACGCGTGCTACGCGGGCTTAGGTTCTAGTCGCAGATGAACCACGGGTGCCGCTGTAAGCCCCGCTGTGGTCACAACGACGATTTCCAACGTTCTCGGGCCACGCCATCGAAGCAAAGAAACGCCTAGTCCGAACGCGGGGCGCCACCTTCCCGCGTATCTCACGATCTCGCTGCCGCCTTTGCTTGGTTTATCGAGCTGCGTTTGTTTCTCCACTTTCATTACCGCTCTGCCCCGTCGTGACACTCAATGATTTTGCACATCTGTTCGGTCTCCCCATGCCCTGTCACGCAGACATCCGCTGGCTCCTGATGTTGGGCTTGGCTCGGGGCCTCGTTGTGCGCGCGTGGGAGCGCGCTGATGTTTTTTCCTCTTCCTTGTGTTCCAGGCTTCTCGTTTTCAGAAGTCGTTCAGCCGTCGGCTATCTGCAGAGGGCGCGCGCAGATGTCCCCGTCATCAGTGCCCTTCTCTGCAGTCAGTTCTTGTCGAGTCCGTCCACGGGAGTGGGGAAGTTTTTTGTTGCTGGACGCCAAACCTCATGCCGGCGATAATCGCACCCGTGGGATCAGAAAGTTCGGGCTCACGGGGGATACGCAATGAATTGCCTGACAACTCCCGCGTATGGGGCCGCCTGGAGCTCTGACGGAGCCTCTGGCGGCACCTTCTTGGCGCTCTGGTGTTCCAGGGGGGCATATTTCGAAGATGGGTTTAGCTTTTGCGTTTCACTCCAGGGACAGATGGCCAGAGATCCATCTGGTGTGCGTTCCGTTCCACATGTGGCTCAAGGGAAAACCTTACGGCTCTTCTCCTGCTGCCACAGTTGGTAGCGGAGCGGGGTCGGGCCCCGGGCCATGGGCGAGAGCACACGGCTGTGACTAGGGGAACGAAGAATGACATAAACATAAAAACTCGGAGGTCCGCGCGGATTCCTCGGATCGGCGCAGGACCCCCCCTCCCTGGCGCGCGGAGCGCGCCAGGGGCGGCGCCAGAAGCGCCGACAGGGGGGCCCAGCGCGAATCCGAGAAATCCGCGCGGACCTCCGAGTTTTTATGTTTATGTCATTATTCGTTCCCCTAGTGACTGCCCAGTCGCTCTACGCTCGAGCGCTTCGAGGCCAGGCTCCGCTCTGACCGCTGAGCGGCGTGGGATCCACAGCAGATGCCCGCGGACGACGAAGAACAACGGCAGGAAGAACTGTTCACGGGAATGGCGACGCGGGGGTCCGAGGCCATTTCAGCAAGCGGCAGTGCCTCAGCCCCAGCAGCAGCGCAAGGATCGCCAGCGGGTATCGACCAAGAGGTGCTGACCAAGACTGTGCAGAGCATAGTCCAGGAGACTATGAGAAGTCTCGGCCATTTTGGCCAACAGCAGCAGCAGCAGGCGCCATTGTCCTCACCGGCGGCCGCTGCAGACCCGTGGGAAAGCCGGGGGGCCGACCCATGGAGCAGTGGACGCAGACAGTCGGCCGAACACCAGAAGAACGAGGCAGCAGGAGACGACCGCTGGTGGCAGACGGCTGACAAGCAGGGCGACGAGCTCAAGGACGACCAGAAGTGGGACCGCCTCCAGCCCTGGGAACAGAGCTGGGGCGGCTGGTGGCAGAGCTCGTGGTCCCGAGGCTGGGGAGATTTCTCGGATCCCCCGGCCTGGCCAGCATGGGCTCACTACCGCCAGCGGCGACGAGCCATCCGAAAATGGAATGACAATACTGACGTAGCAGTGTGGAGATGCTCGGAGAAGTTCATGAGGCTCTTCGAGTGGACGATGCAGGCGAAGTTCGAGAACATCCCCGACAGACAGCTCACGTCGACGTCCTGGCTCGAGACCCTCCTTGCCAGGATGGACCTGATGATCGGGGAGAGAGAGAGGGCGACGAGCTGCGCCGTGCCGGGCGCAAAGCATTGTATCAGGCCGCTCGGGACTCCAAAGAGTCTCTGACCCAGTACGCGAGCAGACGCGAGGCCGAGCTCATCGAAGCCGAACGTCATGATCTCTGGATGTCGGAGAAGTTGAAGGGTCCGCTTCTCGAGGAGGGCGCCAACCTGACAGCACAGGGCGCCCAGAACCTACGGACGCTGACTCGAGGCGACCTCTCCTACGACAGCGTGAAGTGGGCGCTGCGCCAGCTCGACTCCTCCACCAAGATCGAGCGGCTCCTGCTGGGCAAGGCCGGCCCAGGCGACATGCTCGCGACATCAACGGCTGCTGAGGACCTCGTTCCAGGCGGGCGTCTAGAGGCTGGCAGGGATGTTCAGCTCTCCCTCTCCTCCCCTAACATCGGTCGGTCAGAGGAAGGTAACTACCCTGTCGACGACGATGAGGAGGACTACTACGACGAGGGCGGCGAGGACAGCGAGGAGCTGGACGAGCACGACGTCGAGGCGCTCCTGGCAGAGATCGACGACATGGATGTGAACGAGGACGACGTCGAGCTCGTCATGGCGAAGCTCACCATCAACCGGTCCTGGGAGCGAAACGAGGACCTCAAGAGGGCCGCCCGGCGCGACCGGGAGTACTTCGGCCCGAAGAGCCAGGGCAGCGGCAGTGCCTCAGCCCCAGCAGCAGCGCAAGGATCGCCAGCGGGTATCGACCAAGAGGTGCTGACCAAGACAGCGCAGAGCATAGTCCAGGAGACTATGAAAAGTCTCGGCCATTTGGGCCAACAGCAGCAGCAGCAGCAGGCGCCATTGTCCTCACCGGCGGCCGCTGCAGAAACGTGGGTGAGCCAGGGGGCCGACCCATGGAGCAGTGGACGCGGACAGTCGGCCGAACACCAGAAGAACGAGGCAGCAGGAAACGACCGCTGGTGGCAGACGGCTGACAAGCAGGGCGACGAGCTCAAGGACGACCAGAAGTGGGACCGCCTCCAGCCCTGGGAACAGAGCTGGGGCGGCTGGCGGCAGGGCTCGTGGTCCCGAGGCCGGGGAGATTTCTCGGATCCCCCGGCCTGGCCAGCATGGGCTCACTACCGCCAGGGGCGACGAGCCATCCGAAAATGGAATGACAATACTGACGTAGCAGTGTGGAGATGCTCGGAGAAGTTCGTGAGGCTCTTCGAATGGACGATGCAGGCGAAGTTCGAGAACATCCCCCACAGTCAGCTCACGTCGACGTCCTGGCTCGAGACCCTCCTTCCCAGGATGGACCTGATGATCGGGGAGAGGGAGGGCGACGAGCTGCGCCGTGCCGGGCGCAAAGCATTGTATCAGGCCGCCTGGGACTCCAAAGAGTCTCTGACCCAGTACGTGAACAGACGCGAGGCCGAGCTCATCGCAGCCGAACGTCATGATCTCTGGATGTCGGAGAAGTTGAAGGGTCCGCTTCTCGAGGAGGGCGCCAACTTGACAGCACAGGGCGCCCAGAACCTACGGACGCTGACTCGAGGCGACCTCTCCTACGACAGCGTGAAGTGGGCGCTGCGCCAGCTCGACTCCTCCACCGGGATCGAGCGGCTCCTGCTGGGCAAGGCCAGACCAGGCGCCACGCTCGCGACATCAACGGTTGCTGAGAACCTCGGTCCAGGCGGGCGTCTAGAGGCTGGCAGGGATGTTCAGCTCTCCCTCTCCTCCCCGAATATCGGTCGGTCAGAAGAAGGTAGCTACCCTGTCGACGACGATGAGGACTACTACGACGAGGGCGGCGAGGACAGCGAGGAGCTGGACGAGCACGGCAGACATCGACGGCATGGATGTGAAAGAGGACGACGTCGAGCTCGTCAAGGCGGAGCTCAACAACATTCGGCCCTGGAAGCAGAAAGATAACCTCAAGAAGGCCGCCCGGCGCGACCGGGAGTACTTCGGCCCGAAGAGCCAGAGCAGCGGCAGTGCCTCAGCCCCAGCAGCAGCGCCAGGATCGACAGCGGGTATCGACCAAGAGGTGCTGACAACGACAGCGCAGAGCATAGTCCAGGAGACCACGAAAAGTCTCGGCCATTTTGGTCAACAGCAGGCGCCTTTGCCCTCACCAGCGGCCGCTGCAGACCGCTGGAAAGCCAAGGGGACCGACCCATGGAGCAGTGGACGCGGAGAGTCGGCCGAACACCAGAAGAACGAGGCAGCAGGAGACGACCGCTGGTGGCAGACGGCTGGCAAGCAGTGGCAGAGTCGCAAAGCGATCAGGGTGCTTTCCTCTCTCCAGCGCGCAGCACCAGAGCTCTCATCAGCCGCCCGCGGGGCGGAAGACCGTAAATTGGTCTAGGGCCCTGCGGGGCCCGCAGGGCCAAACGGCGGCGGCGGGCAGTCGACCTCCAGAAGGCTCTCCAGAGGTCCTCAAGTACACAGGCCCCGGCCGGGCCTGGTCACATGGCCCCTGGCGGGCCAGCACAAAAAGAGGCAGCCCTTGGTGGGCTGGCAAAATATACGCATGCCCTTCGGCCAACATCTCAGGAAGTCTCAGGAACTCAGGAGAGGGCGTACGCGTCGGGCGGAGGATGGGAGATTGTAGGAACGCACGAACTCCGTCAGCTCCTCCTTCCTGCCAGATGTCATCTGGAGCTCGAAGGGGCAAAAAACTAGCGATCAACGACTGAGTCGCTCGCTGCAGCGTGAAACCATGGAACAACCTCATGAAATCGAACCGCTCGCCAGGAGCATACTCAAATATGAAAATAAGAAACTCAACTCACTGACGCTGCCAACGTTTCCTTAAGTCTTCTCCAAGCTGCAGAACGCTCCTCGCATCCTCAAGCGTCCGTCAATGGACCTGGGGTCCACGTAGTAGCCAATGCCACTGGCCATCTCGTTCGCCTCGTCCTTAGTAATCTGCCTGCCCTCGGGACCGCAGTGCCTCATCACGCGCTCGGACACCTTGATCACCACGGGGATTTCCTCGAGACTGGCCTTCAGCAGCTTCGTCTTGATTCCCGCGAAATCAAAGTCCTGCGGCACCGACTTGGTCTCCACCTGTCTGGCCGGGCGACTCCTTGGGTCTCGCACAACTTCATCGTCAATCGTCTTTACCGTCTTGGCCGTCCTCTGCCTCGTAATCTGGACTGGTTCCTCTCCGAATATGGCACTGTCGCTCTCGACCTCCATGGGCTCGGGCACCTCACCTTCAACCTTCTTGGGCGCCCTCGTTCTCGTAGCGATGCCTGTCGCCGCCGTCAGAGTCGAGCCTGGGGTGCGATCATCGCCCGCGTGGATCAGCCGCGGCATTCTCTCGATCTCCTGGGACTGTCGGATCGATGCTCTGATCTCCCTCATCTGCCACATGAGGTATGTCACGGCCATAATCATCACGAACAGGATAGCCAGCAGAATGTAGATCACTGTATTGTCATCTTCCTCAGTAAGTGGCGCAGTAGGCGTTTCCCTTGCTGCGGCCATGGATGATATCAACGTGGCAATGCGGAGTCCGAGGCTTGGACCCGCCCTGCTCACCGTTGGGTCCGTCAACCTTGATGTTCCTCCTGGTGTGGTACCCGATCCACTCGCGGTTGATCTGCCACGCGTGGTACCCGATCCCCTCGCGCCTGATCCGCCACACGTGGTACCCGATCCACTCGCGGTTGGTCTCCTCAGCGTGGTACCCGATCCCCTCGTGGTCGATCTTCTTGCAACGAAATCAGGACTTTTGTTGGCTTCACGGCCTGTCGCTTCCACTGCGGAGGTGGAATCTCGAACTTCTTGGAAGCAAAGAAGGCAATCAAAATCGCAACGCACGCCAAACTCTTAGTCAGGCCGTCAGCTACCATTGCTTCAGTCATCGTCCAAATCAGCGTAGTATAATATTGTGCCTCAACACTCTCACGAAGCATGGAAACAACAATGCGTAATCTTTTGTCCGCAACTGAACCACTATCCTTATTCACAGTGACCTTCACATTGTCGCTGTCCGTCACAGCAAAAGCCGGCCTTGATGCACATAACCTCTCAACAGCCTTGAGCTTGGCGTTGGCTGGCATCTGTAACTCCTGAGGAAACTGTCGTAGAAACTGGCCATGCCACATAGCCTCGCTGATGCTGTATGCCTCCGCAGCTAACGTGGATCCCACAACTCCCTCGACTCAGAAACTTGCCCACGCCAATGGCACCTGCTTGTCGAACCGTCAAGCTCTTCTCACTCGGCATGTTCGCGAAGGACGAATCACCGTAGGCCAGGACGCACGCTGTGCTGATGTCCACGACGCCCCTGCGGAAGTGCAGGCCGTACTCGATGATGTTCTCTTTGACGTAGTCCACAAGCTTGTTGGCATCGATGAGGCCCCGGACCTTCAGCTCTGACGTCCTCTGCGCAAGCCTGTTCTGCTCGAAAGCTATGTCGGGCCTCGAGCAATGTGCCAGCCACTGTAGTTGCCCGTTCGTGCTGCGAGACATGCTCAGCTCCTCCATAGTTGCTCGTCCGTCTGAAACCTTCTTCCTGTCCGGGGCGATGGGGATATACCCCACGGCCATGACCGCCTTAGCCTGCGTAACGTAGACCCCTGCTCCGCAGTACTCAAACTTCCCGTCGCGTCTCTCCAGATGTAGAAACTCAGCCATCTCTCCCAGTATATTGTCGACCGTGGGGCTTGCGGCCTTCCTGGCAACCAGCATGTCGTCAACGTGGCTGTGTATTACCATCTGGAGCTCCCCGTCGTAGTAATACCTGTAGACCCCGCGCTCCAGCTCGGACTCGTATATGTGCTTCCTTCGAGGTATGCAGATGCTTATACCAGGCGCGCCCCGCGTCCTTGGCACCGTAGATTGAGCCCTGTGCGTAGAACACATTGCCCAGGCCGTGGGGTGCCTGTTGGGCATCCTGATGAGTAGCAATCTGTCGATGCCCTCTGCCTGGAGGTAGGCCGACTTCGCGTCGTAGGAGCATCCTGTCCAACCCCTCTGCGCCATGAACCCGAGGGTGACCATGAGAGCGCCCACTGAACCTGCGGGGGCGTCGCTCCTGATGTAGGCGGAACTCTCCGGACAGCCCTGAACAACCAGTCGAGACTTGTACTTGGACCTGCTGGTCTGCTTCAGCGCGAACCCCCAGCGCGCGCCCACGACCTTGGCGCCGTTGGCGAGATGCTGCTTAAGCTCGTGGTCTGGAAATTTCGCGCAGCTCCGTACGCCATCCACTTCTCCCACTCGTCTTCCATGGATGCCGTGAGCTCCCTGATAGATTCGCCTGAGACGGCGTCCAAGTCGACCTCCTCGGACCTCGCAGCCTTGGTCAAATAACATCCTCGAACTCCCTCGACCTGGAGGACCAGTGCATGCCGTTATTGTGTTTCATGGTTGTCCCGGTTGCCCTCTCGAAGACTTGTTCTCGTACTTCACCTCGCTCTGCCTTCGGCGTTGCTCCAGGGTCCCCTTGACAGAGATCGGAACGTCGTCGAGGTGATCGCATGTCTGCCTCGGGGCCGTGCGCACTGGCTTGAATGGCGTAGCATGTGGTGTGGGTCCCGAGCTCGATGCCGCTCCTCCTTGGTCCTGAGCCCCTTCGGGCCGTGGTAGGGTCTCCTCAACGTCGTAAAACTCGTCGGCATTATCGGCGTCCTTCTCCAACTCCTCGGGGTCGTGATACTCAAACTCTTGGCACTACACTTCTTCGTCCTCGCAGCGATCTTTCTGAAACGCAAGGTCCTCCATATTCGGCACCTGCGGCGTCTCCTCCTTCTCGTGACGATAGGGAAGAGGAGGATCTGGATCATGAGGAGGAGGCGGGGCGTCCTGGGATTTCCCAGGTGCTAGAGGAGGCGTCTCCTCCTCGGGATGCCCTGGCGATCTAGTAGGCTGCCCAGGAAGCTGAGGCACTTGCTCAGGGGGTTCTTCGGAGTACATGGGTCCTTCCAACACGAGCTGCGGAAATGGTGTAGGATCTCCGACTGCCAGCTTCTCTTCCCAGTTAGTTTGCAGGCGGCGTCTGCTGCTGGCAGACGGAACGTAGGGAACATCCTCAACATCCTGAGGCCCTCCAGCGGCGGAATGCTGCTCCACGTCCATGGGCGCGCGAGCGTGCTCATCGATTGCCATGTCCAAATAAGTGTGGTCGTGGCCGACGTCGGTAGGAGGTGGGTCGGCGACCTGCGGCGTCTCGTCGTCGACCTCCATCGGGGCCTGGCCGTCCGGCCTGGGCGGTGACCACCAGGATGGTCTTGAGGCGGCAGGCCCGCTCGTACCCTCCGCACGCTCGAAAACATCCTTCCAGTCGACCAGCTCCGACGCCTCCGCGGCTCTGACATGCCGCGCCGATGCCTTGATAGCGAGGTCGCGATGCGCCAGCCACAGGTTGTTGGACTCACGCCCGATGACTACCGCTGGTCCGTGCCAGCGTGCTGCCCAATGCTTCTTGGCACGGGCCTTGCCCAGTCCTCTCCAGTAGTACACCTGGTCGCCGATCTGGTACGTTGAAGCCGCTGGCGTCGTAGCTGCAGCTCTGCCCTTGGCGAGGGATGCCTCGCTGATCTTGTGGTTGGCCTCAAACGCGGCCACCGAGCGCTTCGCTGCGCTGAGTTGTCCGACGCGCTGACTGAAGCTCGGCTCGTCGTCGTCTAGCATCCGCTGGTGCAACCTGAGGTTGCTGTGCTGGCTGAGGAGCTGATACGGGAGCTTGATACCCCGGCCCAGGACCCACTGGGGCGCTGAGTACCCCGACGGGCCCACTGCAGAGTTCACCGCATAGTTGATCGCCACCAAGAGCCACTTGACCTGGTCTGCCTTCTTGAAGGCGAGGAAACTCCGAGATCAAGGCGCGAGCGCGCACCTTCCAGGTCTGGCCATTCCTTTCGCAGATGGCACTATCCTCGAGCCCATGGTCTCCAGCTCATCCTTGACTTCACGCTCGAACTCGCCCTCCATGTCCGCCATCACGACGTCCGGAACGCCGAGCGCGAGCAGCCAAAAGTCGAGCATGGCTTGCCAGATCACGGTCGGCTTGCGGGCGGTGACCGGGACAACGACCTGGTAGTTGGAGACCATGCCGATCTGGTTGAGGACCAACATGTCGGTGCCCTGGGCGTCGGCCAGTTCGAAGGTATCGATGGCCAGGCAGTCGCCGAACTCTCCCCAACGATCTCGCAATGATGATGCCGCTGTCGACGGCGGGGCCGCTAGCTTGACGCACGTGGGGCAATGATGCGCGAGCGCTGCTGCTATCGCATACTTCGAGCCGCCTGCAAGTCGAATGGCACGCGCGAGGGCCCGATTGCCTGGAGGTCCCAGGTTGGCGTGTATCTTAGCCACAGCCCTCGCGAGAGTAAGACGCTGCTCACACTCCAGGCTGGCCAGTATACCCTGAGGCTCCTTCTCTGTGCCCTCATTCTCGTCGTCGCTGAGCAGCGTGACCAGCGCGTAGTTGACGTCGGCGATGCCCCTCATGAAGCCCCCGATCGCGGCCCCACACAGCTCCTTGGTCTAGAGCCCCGTCTTATTGGACGTCCTCCGGTTGAACTCTCCTTTAGGTGCCCATAGTACTGGGAGCACCTTCGGTTTAAGAACTTCTGCAGCGGCTGACGGTTGGCGATCACCTTCCAGGGCTTCTTGACGGTCTGGCCAGTCCTGACGTCCATGAGGCCGTAGGCGCCTCCATCGAACAGGCACTCGCATGGCAAGATCCTCTTGAGCCCCTGGACCTCGGGCTGCTTCCACCCGTGGCAGTTGACGGGCCACTCGAACGCAATGATCGCGCCAAACTCCAGCGCGCGCTGAGCCTCCCTGGTAAATAGCTCCTGTAGCGCCGCCCAGGGACTGCAGGGCAGACCGCCCCAAAGAACGTCGGCACGCCCAGCTCGGGGCCGCGCTGCCTGCTCGAGGAAATCGCCAGCCTTAGCCGCCCGACGTCGGACTCGAAGATCGTCCTCAGGAAGTCCGAGGCGGTGCGCAGCTCCCCCTGAGCTTGCCAGAGCTCCGACATGAGGCTGTTCGGCTCGCAGCAGTACTCGACCAGGGCACATGGAGTCCTCTTCCTTGTCCTTCGCGCCCCTCTGGAAGCAGTGGGGACCATAGTGTCGTTCAGCAGTGTCTGAACCATCTTCTTCACGCATGCTGGTCGAGCTCCATGTTGATGTAACGCGCTTGCTTGTCTCAGCCAGGCCTTGTTCTGCGCGACGGTGCCATTGCGGAGTCTCCTCCATGATTGGTGCTGTGCCGCGAACTCCGCGACCGTGCCTACTCCCATCTTGTAATCACTCACGCCGCGATAGCACCTCGAGCACTGCAACACTCGAAGGTAAGACGGGCATGTTCCCATATCATACAGCACACCTGGCACTCGTAGAGCGCCCCAGTCGCGCAACAGACCGAGCAGGCACCACGCGCGACACCCCAAGTAGGCGCGTCCTCCGATGTGACGTTTACCGTAGTCAGAGCCCAGGTCGTAATGGTCACGTTCCCTACAGTGGTGCTGTCGTTCGTCTTGTCCTGACCCTTGGGCTTCTCGCCAATCGCCTTGCTGACCTTGGCCTCTGAACAGCACATGGTCGCCGCGATGGCGAACACCTTCAGTACCAGTGCGCCCATGCCTCCACGAGGAAGCGGTGATGGCCTAGCTCGATGGCCGAGCTTGGGCGGGAGCTCCTCTCTGCCCGCGTAGACCTCCGAAAGGGCGCGATACTTCTCGGGCTTGAGCTCCAGCGCGAAGTGGCGATTCTCCGAATCTAGCAGCGGCTGCGATCCGGGGCCCACCGTGAGCTTGCGCCTCGCCACGTCGATGCCTGCGCCGATCGCCTCCAGGAAATCACGCCCCAACAGCAGGCCCAACTTGTCGCTCTTCACTACAGAGGAGCGCACCATGACGGGCATGCCCGCGACCACCGCTGGGAAGCGGAACGCCTCCTAGGACATCAGCGCGCCGCCGTCACCAACCTGATTTTCTCGGTAATCTCCTCGCGCTCGACGAGGTAGCTGATGCCCAGCTCTGTCAACACCTCCGATCGCCCATCACCGATATGACGCACGCCGTGTCCACCACCCCTCGGAGGTGGTCCTTCACCTTCTTGATCAGCTCATTCCTCAACACCTCCTTTGCCTCGGCCATGTCGCCTGCCCGACAGACAGCGCGTCGTGGACCGAGCCCGAGTCGTCGCCTGCTGCCGTGACCATCGTAGCGCGCGGTGCCTTGCACTCTGGATCACCTGCCCAGCGCCCTGACTGTCCGCAAGCCGTGCAGGTCGACTTGAGCTTCCTCTGCCTCAGCTTCTCTGCGAGCTCCTTACCCTTGGCGGGCCGGAACCCGCCGCGCCCGGTACCAGAAGATGACCGTCCACCTGACTTGCCACGGCCCTTACCTTTCGCCTTGCCGTCACCTCCGACGCGACCCTGAATACATCCACGCGCGCCCCTGATGACCTCCAGCGCCACGGTGAACTGCGACACCTGGAGCGCCGCCGCCTCCAACGCTGCAGAGTCCTCGGGCGGAAGGTCCAGCGGGCTATCCTCGAGCTCCGTCGCGAGCGCCTGCAGCTCCTGGCGCGCGAACCCGCGGATCTCCGAGACCGACCTCGTGGACCTCGTACTCGTGCTCCCCGGGGCCGTCGCCGCAGTCGTCATCCTGCTGCTGCTCGCCCCCAGGGCCCTCCGCATGGTCCTCGAGCTCCGTCGCATTCACGCCACGCGTGGACGTGCCAGAGCCTGCAGGACATGTCCGCCGCTGCCCGAACCGCCGGCTCTGGCCCCGCTGCTGGAACCGCGCAGGATGCGACGTCCGTCTGCTCTCCGCCATGTGTAGGTCCGGGCAGATTCTGACCACGATCGTCTTCAGGTCTCTGCACGAGTACTTGTCATCTGGGAGGGCCGCCACCACTCGCCCCCGCCGCCCGGGCGACAGACAGCACTTCTCGAGGAACCACCAGCCGTGGATGTCATCCTGGTCCGCAAACCGCACTCCATCGTCCTCGAGCCTCTGGGCGCCTTCCTCGAACCTCGCCACGAAGTCCGTCATGCGCTCGCCAGCCCTCTGGTTGTAGCGGGAGCCCTTGAGGAAGTCTGACATCGCCTCGCCTCTCCGAGCTGCATGCTGCCCACCTAGCGCTGCCTGCAGCGCCTCGAGCACACTGCTGATGCCTCTCATGGTGTCGGCCTCCGTCGCCTCGCGGACTAGCTGCCCATCGTCATCGCACTCGGCTGGCGACGCCTCGAGCGGGTGGAGACGCCCCCTCGGGATCCTGAGGCCGACCCTCCTGGCAGCGCCCTTGAGCCGGCTCACGAGCCGCGCCGCCGCGCAGTAGTTCACGCCCAGGTTAGTACCCAGCGCCCAGAACTCCACGTCATCACGATAGCGCCTCCAACCCTATGGCGCGCCGTCCCAGACCGGGATAAGGCTGTAGCCCTCGGCGCCGCCTCCACCGGGATGGTCGTCGTGGTCGCGATCCATCCTATACTGCATCACGCTCGAAAGTCGTCTCCAGCGCCGCTAGAGCTGCTGCTGCTCGGCGCCGCCGAGCCCGTGGATCTGCCCGCCAGCGGCGGGCTCCGCTACCACTGGCGGAGTCGCAAAGCGATCAGGGTGCTTTTCTATCTTTCTCTCTCTCTCTCTCTCTCTCTCTCCAGCGCGCCGCACCAGAGCTCTCATCAGCCGCCCGCGGGGCGGAAGACCGTAAATTGGTAAATGGCCCTGCGGGGCCCGCAGAGCCAAACGGCGGCGCCGGGCAGTGGACCTCCAGAAGGCTCTCTAGAGATCCTCAAGTACACAGGCCCCGGCAGGGCCTGGTCACATGGCCCCTGGCGGGCCAATACAAAAAGAGACAGTCCTTGGTGGGCTGGCAATATATATATATATATATATATATATATATATATGGAAGCCCTTCGGCCAACGTCTCAGGAAGTCTCAGGAACTCAGGAGAGGACGCACGCGTCGGGCGGAGGATGGGGGACGGTAGGAACGCACGCACTCCGTCAAGCAAGGCGACGAGCTCAAGGACGACCAGAAGTGTGACCGCCTCCAGCCCTGGGACCAGAGCTGGGGCGGCCGGTGGCAGAGCTCGCGGTCCCGAGGCCGGGAAGATTTCTCGGATCCCCCAGCCTGGCCAGGATGGGCTCACTACCGCCAGCGGCGACGAGCCATCCGAAGATGGAATGGCGATACTGACGTAGCAGTGTGGAGACGCTCGGAGAAGTTCATGATGCTCTTCGAGTGGACGATGCAGGCGAAGATCGAGAACATCCCCGACAGTCAGCTCACGTCGACGTCCGACCTGATGATCGGGGAGAGAAAGGGCGACGAGCTACGCCGTGCCGGGCGCAAAACATTGCACCAGGCCGCTCGGGACTCCAAAAAGTCTCTGGCCCAGTACGCGAGCAGACGCGAGGCCAAGTTCATCGAAGCCGAAGGTCATGACCTCTGGATGTCGGACAAGTTGAAGGGTCTGTTTCTCGAGAGGGGGGCGCCAACCTGACAGCACAGGGCGCCCAGAACCTACGGACGCTGACTCGAGGCAACCTCTCCTACGACAGCGTGAAGTGGGCGCTGCGCCAGCTCGACTCCTCCACCGGGACCGAGCGGCTCCTGCCGGGCAAGGCCAGCCCAGGCGCCATGCTCGCGACATCCACGTCTGCTGAGGACCTCGGTCCACGCGGGCGTCTAGAGGCTACGAAACCTGGGGCAAATGATGGTATAGCCACATCCAGTGCGCTCTGACGGGGCGACCTCGGGTGTGGTGGAAAGAGCAAGAAAGAACAGGGACTGCATATGGTATAGCAATACCCCTCTCGCTCTGCCGGGGCCACCCTTGAGGGGTGGGGCAAAGCAATTTGTGAAATGATAGGGTATAGCAATGCCCCGTTCGCTCTGGCGGGGCCTGTCTGGCGCTCTGGCGGGGCCGTCCCAGGAGAGGAAGGAGGAGCACGAAAACTGAGGGGTGAGGGGAGGAAGAGGAGAGAGAGAGAGAGGAAGGAATGAAACAAGGGGAGGGGGCGGGAGGGAAAGAGGGACGGAGGGGGGAAACCCAAGCCATCTGGGCCGTCTTCGAACGCCCTGGGGCCTCTCGCTCCCGCTCTGTGGCCCATCTTGGGCCTGTCCTGGGGCCTCGTGGGCCGTCTGGGGCTCCTCATGGGCAGTTTTCGGGCTCTATGGGGCCGTCTTGGGGCTCTTTGGGAAGCCTCTTCGGCGGTCTTGGGGCGGTCTTGGGGGGTCTTAGGCCGTCTTGGAGCGTTGGTAGCTCGAAAACGCGAGAAAGCGGAAAACATCGAAAAACTAATGAAAATCTAGGATTTGGGACCGGGACGTCTCTCGGAGCTCTCCTGGGGCCTCTTGGAGGCCTCTTGGGCTCTGTGTTTGCCGTCTTGAGCTCATCTTGGGCCACGTTGGGCTGTCTTGGAGGGGCTTGTCGAAGTCCCCCTGGGGCTTCTAGGAGCGTCTTGGAGCTCTCTGGGGCAGTCTGGGGGCTCCAAGGCCGTTCCGGGGTGCTCTGGGAGCGGTCTCGGAGGCCCTGGTCCTCCCATGCGCTGTCGGGGGGCCCAGCCCCCGGGCCCCGGTCCTCGTGCGCGGGGGATATAAGTGTGTGTATATATATACACACACATACGTACATAAGTGCATGCATGCAGACAGACAGACAGACAGGCAGGCAGACAGACAGACAGACAGACAGACAGACAGACAGACAGACAGACAGACAGTTAGACAGACAGACAGACAGACAGACAAACATGTGTACGCATACACCTGTATATACACGTGTGCATACTGTGTGTCCGCGCTCCCAAGGTAACTATCCAGCGCGTAAGATACAAAGCATCTGCGCTCTCATGTACAGGACCTGTGCTCCTGGGGCCACGATACTTTCCAGAATACCTGGGCCACGAGCCTTCGTTTGATGGAGTTCATTCGTGACCTCACGTAAGCCTGACCCACAGGGCGCAACGAAACGGGACCCCAAACCGCGCCGCGTAATACAGTGCTCGAAAGCCCGCCTGGCCAACTGAAATCTGACGACGAACTCGCTTCTCACTACTGGCTCTTTTGTCGCGCGGGAGGCCCCAGCAGGATCTGCCCGAACTCCCAAGAAGCCCAGGACGACCCGGAATATCTGGAGATGCGCTCAAGGCTCCAAGGTGCCAGAAGGGAGCGAGGAGCAGCGAAGCGGCGACGAGTGGGCAGGGGAGAGGGACGAGGGACCGGGGAGCGTCCCAAGAGGTCCCCAGAGGCCCCCGCGGAAGTCTCCGCTGAGGCCCCTGGGCCTGAAGGCTCTCAGAGGAGGCCCCGAAGGGGACCAAAGCGTCCGAAAGCCGTTGGCTCTCAATCCTTGGGGGGTGAGAGAGGGAGAGGAGGCGAGGAGGGCGGGCCGGCCGCCGCCTCATCCGCCACCACGGTCAGCCGCTCCACCCCAGCCCCTTGCCACTCCATCCCGGCTAGGGAGAAAGGACGCCCTGGCCAAGCCACGCACGGAGCGAGCGAGGAGGAGGGAGGAGGGAGGAGGATAAGGAGAAGGAGGAGGCAGGGAGGCAGGGGTCGTTCCTCCCCCTCCACGGTGAGGACGTGACCTCGAGGGCAGAAATCCCAGCTCCCGGTTGTTCAATGAGCGTGGGAGTGGAGGGGGTCGCGTAGTGAAGCAGAGGAACGACCTGCCCAGCGAAGGACGTACGAGGTGAGTGAATCTCGGATGTTGCCAGAGATGATACTGGCTCAAGGTGACCCCACCCAGGTTCGAGGAACCCCAGAGGTTCCAGGGAGGCCTCAATCGAGGCCGTCCGCGGTTACAGTGCAACCGAAAACCGCCCGAACCAACAGCGAATTCGAGACCGACCAAAGCCGAATGTACCAGAAACAGACGAGACGGGCTCAGCGACGCGGCAACGGTGCAACGGCGGATCGGATTGAACTGACCGAGCGCAACCGACTGCGACGCAGCCGAACCGACCGAATCGGGTGCACCCCCCCCACGAGGCCCAGAGGGCCCCAGGGATTCCAAAATGGCGCGAAAAGCTAGTAATGGCCAGGATCGCTCTGACATCTGGCAACACCCGAGAATCGCGGGCGTCGGCGCGCGAGGCGCGAAGGCGGGGCGGTATCGAGGAGGCGCTCATCGAAGAACGCGGAGCAGCCCCAAGCCTCCGAAGTCGTGACTTCCTCCGATGCCCAAGCAAGAGTGACCTTTGGTTGGTGCGCGGCTTGCCCATCGGTACACGCGATGCGATAGTAGCGTCCTACGTGCTTGGGTTTGGCAGCTCCACGACCCCCGAAAGCCGCACACCAAAGTTCACCCCGGCGAAGGGTCACTCTTACGTGCAGCCGAGATACGAGGCCTCCATACGTACCCCTCGACCTGTTGCCGGGAGTCAACTTGACGTCCCGAGTCTGGCTCCCTTACGGCCCCGGGGGCTCGAAGACGGCCCCCCCAGGGGCCGAGAGGGCGGACGGAGCTCTGCCCTGATGCTGTTCGAATCTGCTCAAAGCGGGCGAGGTATGGGTTCGGGCGTTGCCGACGGTGTCCCTGGCCCAAAAATGTTTCGCGCCGCGTTGGTGCCCTTGTGACCCTCTGGGCCTCGTGAGGGGTGCCATGGAGGCCACCTGGGCCTCCCTGGAACAGCAAGGGCCATCCTGGGCCAGGACCACGCTTGGTAACGCCTGAGAGGCAGACCTTCCCGATCCGTTGGCTTGGCTACGGCTTCCTCTCCCCCGATCCAGCTGGTGGGCCCGCGGCGGCCAGGGCGTGCCGCCGCCAGGTGAGCCTGAAGGAGGCACCAGAGCCTGAGCAGACGCCGTCGGCGATGGCCGCGGAAGGAGGACCAGAGGCGGCGGAGGAGATCGATTACATAGACCTTCCAAAAGCCCCCGATGCACCCCAGGGGAAGAGGAGGCGGAGAAGGAGGGAGGAGAGCAGGGGGAGGATAAGAATGCGTCGTCGGAGGATGATAAGCAGGATCAGAAGCCAGAGCACTAGAAAGAGCAGGAGCTGGAGCAGGTACAGAAGCAGGAAGGTCGACGAGGAGGAGTAGCAGCAGCAACAGGAGCGGGAGGAGCAGGAGCAGAAGTAAGGGCCTGGAGAAAGAGGAGGAGAAGCGGCAGGAGCACTGCAGAATCAGAAGCTGGAGCGACAACAGGAGAAAATGAGGAGCACGAGCAGGAGGAAAAGGAGGAGGAAGGAGGAGGAGAGGGAGGACAGAGGACGGACTTTGGAGGGAGGCAGGAGGAGGAGGCGCACACCGACCATGGACGGGATGGAGGAGGGGAGGGGGAGGGAGAGTAGGGAGGATGAGGCGGAGCAGGCAGAGGAGGTGGAACAGGGGTGGAGGGCGAAACAGGCACGCCACCCACGTCGGTGCCGCCTGTTCTCTCGCGAGCAGATCTCGTTTGTGTCTGAGTTGTCTCCTCCAATGAGGCGCGCCAGTACGTCATTCACCCATTCCAAGTTGTTGTGGCTGGTGGTCGGCGTGAGTGGTGTGTGGCGTGTGATGTGTGTAGCAGTGGAGAAACGCAGGTGGCTGCTCGACTTTCAGTTGCCTGTGAGGGTCCGCCGCCTGCGGGGCACTGGGACTCCAGGGACCTCTCTAACCTGGCCAGGTCCCCTGCCAGGTTCATGGTTGGCAAAGTCTGGAGGTTCCTGGTTGCCCCGTTCAGGCCGGCGGACCTCATTCGAGCGGGTGAGACTCACTCGCGTGTACTGAACTCGTTTGCAAATTGCAGTCTAGTGCGGAGGCGCCACCCGCCTCTGGCTTCGGCTAGGCGGTGGCGGAAATGGCCTGTGGCGCGGACCTTGAGTTCGCGTTGGCTTGGGTCGAGGGAGAAACAGGCGGATGATCAGTTGAGGAGGAGGAGGTTGAAGAGGAGGATGAACCAGTACGTTGCGCATCAACAGCCGCCCTACATTCAGACACACCTACCTCAGTTTGGAGCGGCTGGTGGACAACAGAACGCGATCGGTCAGCAGCATCAGCAGCATCAGCATGGTCAGATGGGCCAGCAGATGGGCCAGATGGACCAGACGAATTGCCAGCAGACCGATCAGCAGATGATGGACAAGAAGCAGCAGATTATGGACCAACAGATGAAGAGTCAGCAGCAGGGCCAGACAGCACCGCCGCAGCAGCAGTGCCAGATGGGCCCGCAGATGCACGATCCAGGTTTACTACAATTTCTGCGCATGATGGACCAGAGGCAAGCGAGGCAAGAGGAGATCATGTCGAACCTAGTCTCGTGGATCAACACTGCCTCGGGCCAGCAGCAGAACCACCACAGGCAGCAGCAGGCCATGGGGTTTACTACGGCCGCTGGGGAGACGGCGGCCCCTCCAGCGGACTCACCAGCGCCGCGTACACCAGAAGGCAAAACACCAGTGGGAGGCTGTTCGACGCCGATCGCAATGCCGAAGACACAGGCCTCACCACAGTCCTTCGCACCAGCGCAAGGCACACCGCCTGCGTGGAGATCGGCACACAAGGAGAAGCTCCTCACGCCGACGGAGCCCGTGGCCACGCCGAGGGAGGAGCACAAGAGGGAGGAGATCGAGATGCCACAAGCGCCGTGGCAAATCTCACCTACGGAGCCGTGGGCAGGGGGTACTCAGGAGGACCCTTACTTGACGGCAATGGCGCCGAAGGAGAGCGTGACGAAGATCGAGCCCAAGGAGGAGCCTGTTCTGGTGACGTCGCAGGATGGCGACATGACGGACTCCCAGGTACAGAAGGAGATGGAGAAGATAGACCAAGCCTGTGCAGAGCAGCGAGCAGCGAGCAGTGCACCAACGGCCGCGAGCAGCTCAGCGACGGCCTCGACGGCATCGAAGTCGACGGCTACGAGGGGGGCGACGGCAAGGACGACGTGGGCAACGGCAGCAACGGACTCGCCGCAGCCGCGCAGCCCTGCGACCAAGGTCCTCAAGGTGGGGGGCAAAGGCGGCGCCTGAGGGGTAAGCAGGTGAGCTGGGCCAAACAGTTAGAACAAGTGTCTCCCTTAGAACGCAACACTGAAATAGGTAGGGATGCGCCGCATCAGGTTTCAATCTTGGGGGGCAAGGATTTTCTGACTAGATCCTGTCAAATAATTAGACAACGGTCTGGGGATAACACCTCATTAGGAGCTGCAGCCTTCTCCTGCAACACCTATACCAGGCAGCCTGTTGACCAGAGCGCGGGCTTTCCTGCGCAATGCGGAGACAATGGCGAAGCTAGGGGGCAGACATCGGGGCATCGACGGTCTCCTTCGACATTTGCATCGCAGACTTCGGACATGAGTACGGCAGACAGCGTGAGGACCCACGGGCCCATTGCCAGAAGTTTCCCGAGCCAGTGCCAGTTTAGCATGAGTCAGCCCGCGCTGACACCGTTGAGAGAGAAGCACTGCAAGGCAGCAGCATCAGATTTGAAGCACTAACGCTTGAAGTCTTGCAGAGCACAGGGGTGTTAGAGGAGGAGGCTGCTGTTGCCCTGCGTGTTTTTCCGCCCGACGACGGGATCGGCGACATCTCCGTCGTCCACTATTTTACCGACGGCTCGCTTTACCAACAAGGGGAGGGGATGGGGGGATGGGCAGTGGTAAAAATAGCGGTTAGGAATGGGAGGTACATGTACGGGGGAGTTTAAGAGGCGAACTTGCGAGCAGCAGTGCAATGAACCTTGAGCCGAGCTCGGCCACCAGCACCACGTTGGAGTGTCTAGCGGTGATATGGACATTGTTTGCAAACATAGTTGAGCGCCCAGGGCATCCCTGCACCCTGGACAGCGACTCGCTTAATACGATTCGGGCAGCGCTCGGGCAAAGCTTGCCAAATTCAGACAGGAAAATTGCTCAGCTTGCGCAGGTTGTTTGGGACTTGGCCTCCAAGCAGTGTTCACTGGAGCTCGCCCATGTCAAGGCCCATGCTGGCCATCCGTGGAATGTTTTAGCAGACAATGTGGCTAAAGCCACAGCGAGGCAGCTTTTGCCTGTGGCGCCCGAGCTACCGTGGAGAGTCATCCAAGCCGTTAGGATTGAAAACTCACGCCTGTGGGAATGGGTCCTGGATGCGAGAGAGGACTCTCATGCGCACCCCAGCGTTGTGTATGACAACGGGTGCGCGAGCCTCTCAGGCTGGAAGCCAGTTGCCCAGGCAGGGGATTTTCGAGAGCCGCACGCCAGCGACATCAAGACCAGCAAGTTGCAGGTTGCTGTAGACATGCGTGTTGCCACTTTTAACGTGCAAAGCTTGCGGCATGCCTTTCGGCGGGGCTCGAAGGGAAGAAATCGAGCACGCCGTGCTGCGGCGCTCCGCACTCAGATGTATAGGAGCGGCATACACATCATCGGAATTCAGGAGGGAAGGAACGAAAAGGGCACCAGGAGGGCAGGAGATTGGGTGTGCTTGGCAGCAGGACACCAGGACTTTGCGCTCGGCGTCGAGCTATGGATCAACGTGGGATCCCCCTATGGTACGTCCAAGGGAAAGCCGATAACCTACAGCGCACAGCAGGTGCGAATCTTGTGGGCTGCACCGCGTTTGCTAGCATGCAGAATAGACGCTCCAGGGGTCAACCTCAATGTTCTAGTGGCCCACGTGCCTCATTCGGCTAATTCGGTCGCAGAAAAACTCAGTTTGGGGGGGGATTTAGACGCTGTGTGCAACAAGTGGCCCCCGCAGTTGTGCTTTATGGATGGCAACTGCAACCTTGTTGGGGACGAAGGGTGCGAGGTGGCAGGAACCAAGGGCACGAATGACTCTTCTTCTGCGGGCAGTGCGAGGTTGAAGGAGTGGCTTAATGATCACAAGCTTGTTGCTGCCAACACCTTCCTTGGGGAGGAAGCGGATTATACTTTCATAGCTACCAAAACGGGAGGCAAGCATAGAATTGACTTTCTCATAGCAGACCACCAACTTTTCAAAGCCATGAGTGAGGTGGCAGTTCTGAGGTGGATCTCATACGGAAGCAAGATGATCATTTCCCTGTGGTATCACGCCTTTGCTGGGTCAGAGACTCGGTGCGCGCTGCGAGGCAAGGGGCAGCTTTTGACGCATGCAAGCTCCAGGATGAGACAGCTTGCGACAAGTTCCGAGCCCAGATAGCGATCCTTGAGCTACCAGCCTGGGAAAAGAACATGAATGATCATTTGCTTGAGCTCAACGCCTCTGTTTTAGACGCGGCGACAGAATGTTTTAAGAAAGGTCCCGTTCGTCCAAGGAAAACCTACATTCAGGACAATACCTTTTGGCTCATTAGGGTGAGAAGGGCCATTCAAAGGGTCCTTCACAAAGTTAGGCACCAAGGTGGGGTCGATAGGTACGTGAACCGTTTATTTTATCTTGCTCAGGATCTCAGGAAGGGAACCCTTCACTCCAAAGGCTGGGAAGCGGGAGCCTTCGGGGGTGTCTTTTGGGAGGATCTCGGCCACGGCTGGACGCAGCTCTACCAAATGGCTAAAGCTTTCTCTTGGAAACAACTGCGCCCCGATGAGTGGGCCTTAGGCCTAGCCAGATTCCTCAGAGAGTCGTCGGAGACACTCCTCAGAGCGCTTGACAGGGACTACAGTCAGATGCTGGAGGACAATGCTCATCTCATTAACGTTAGCATCGACGGCCGCATCTCTCAGGCCGAGTGGCGGTACGCCAAAAAGCTTTTATTGCAGGGCGGCAAGCGCCACCGACAAACGCTTTCTTTCCCGCAGCGCATCTCACCTGAGGGACGGCCTCTGATCACGCCTCAGGAAGATGCAGATGATCTGCAACGACACTTTGGGGGCATCGAAAAGGCCACCACAGCCTCCAGGGAACAGGTTTTTAAGCAGTACAATGACAGGGGAACCTTGGGGGAGAAGATTTTCAGCTCAACCTGGACTGTGTCATGCCACGTCAGGAACTGCAGAGGGCGTTCTCAAGGCTGAAAAGAGGAAAAGCTTCAGGCCCCGACATGATTGTCAATGAGTTGTATATTGCTGACCCTGTGGGCATGGCGAGAGTGTATCACCCTGTTGTGGTGAAAGCTGCCATTTGCGTACGTGAGCCCTGCATCATGAAGCAGGGAGAAGTAGTTAGTTTTTACAAAGGCAAAGGCGACCAGCGACTTGCGCTGGCTCAGAGAAGCATCCTGCTCAGCAACACCCTTGCGAAGGTCCACCATCAGTTTCTTCGGTCCCAGGTCTGGGGGCGTTTGGAAACTTGCCTGGCCGAATCTCAGCGCGGGGGCCTCAAGGGGAAGAGCACGGATGTAGCCACTCATTGGGTCAGGAGCAGGATAAGAGCACAAAAAAAATGTGGCTTCTGCTCGGCTGCCTTTTTCCTTGACTTGCGCGCGGCCTTTTACAAGGTCATAAAGCAATTCATCTTGAGCCTGCCTGGAGAAGAGGACGAACTCAGAGCTGCATTAGAGGAGGTGCCTATGCCCCCAGCTCTGTTCCATGGCACCAAAGCCCTAGAATGCGACCCCATCCTCGACAAAGCTATTTCGGACCCCCACCTCTTGGAGCTGGTTCGGGAAACTCAGGCTGGAGGCTGGCGGAAGGTGCGTGGATCGACGGCGCATGTAAAACCTGCTTTAGGCAGCCGACCTGGGACCATTCTGGCTACCGACATTTTCAATGTTGGCGTTGCTCCCATAGTGAAAGATATAGATCAGCAGATGCAGCAGAATGGGTTGGCATGGACACCGCCGCCCGCTGAGCTTCATTTCTCCACCGATGACGACCTTGAGAGTTCGGGGTCCTCGGTATCATTTGTAGATGATCTTACACCTGTGGCGGCCATTGCGGAAGCAGAGCATGCCCTTTTCACGAGCCTCCATGCTAGTGGACATCGTCTACGTGGGAGTATCCAAGTACGGACTTGAATTGAACGCTACCAAATCCTTTCTCATGCTTTCCCTTGTTGGCCGTGGCGCTAGGAAAGCCAAGCAGGCTATGGTACTTCAGGGGGGAGGGGACACCCTGACTTCTGTCCAGCATGGGGTTGAGGTCAAGATTGTTAGACAAATCAAAGGGCTTGGAACCCTCCTGGTGGAGGGTGGAGGTGCTGGGCCTGAAGTGGCCCACAGAATTTCCCAGATGAGGGCTGAACTTCAGCCCATCCAAGTGGCTCTTGGCAAAAGGAAGGCCCTCAAGCTGGCCACTCGTTCTCGTTACACGGATGCTTTTGCCTTAAGCAAACTTTGGTTCAACTGCTGTGTTTGGGGGCCCCTTTCCAACAAGTCTCATGGTAAGTTACCTGCTGCTCAAGCCTCGGCCTATCGCGCAGCGCTGGGGGAGGCCCTCGGTGGCAACAAGGACCACCACCAGTCCCACGCGTCTGTTGTGCATGCTGTCAGCAGGCTCAATCACCGCAGTGTACTCCGCGCTGCCAGGCTGAGATATCTCCCGAGGGTGCTCACCACGGGGCCGGCAGGCCTGAGAGTGGTTTTAGACACTCTGTGGGAAGACACTGGGAGTTGGGTGGGAGCTATGAGAGAGGATCTAGAATGGCTCAACACGAGGATGGACAAGCGACAGGTACCAGGGGAGGGGAGTAATGATGACTGGCTCAGCTTTGCTAGGGCCAGGCCAAGGCGCCTCATCAACATGGTGGTGGAAGCCGCCAGGCGTGAATTGTTTCATCCGCAGCAGCAGTATCTAGTGAAAGAAACTCTTAGGAATTGCCAAGCTCACGGACTCCCTGAGCACAGTGCTAGAGAGGAACAAAGCAGCCCTGAAGTTGTCGGTTTTTTGTGTTATGAGTGTGGATACGTGGCCCCGTCGGCTAAGGGTCTTGCGATACACCGAGGCAAGCAGCACAAACACGGATCAGACTGCAACACTTGGGCTGTCGGGACGCACTGTCAGATGTGCATGTTTGAATTTCACTCTCATGGGGGACTCTGCAAGCATCTCAAGCAGAATCGAAGCTGTGCGATGAGTTGGCATGCCATGATCTGCCATCGAGTGAATAAGGAGGAAGTTCAAGAGTGGAGGACCGCTAGCGCCCAGTTGCAGAAAAAGAACAGGGGGATGGGAAAGCAAGAGCACGTGGCTGAGAAGGCTGCTGTCAGAATTTGCGGTTCTGCAAGAGGGGAAAGATTTCCCAACGAAAAAGCCATCCGCGTGCACCCTCCTTTGGCGCTGCAGGAGGCCGAGGCAAAGTGCCAAGTTATACCGAGGGCGGTGCTCGACATGCTCGCCCCCTTTTTTCTCAGCGTTGGCAAAGGCCAGCGGCAGAGTGACGACTTCCAGGCTAAGCTGGAAGAGGAGTGTGCCAAAAAAGGGCAAGAGATAATCGCGCTTCACTTGTCCTGGGAAGAGTGGGCTCTGCAGGACGAGCGGAGTTGGTGCGGCAAGCTTCAGCAGGGTAAGCTCGCGGGGGGGGGCTTTTTTTTTCTGCCTGTCTGCTGGGGCGTAGGGTCTGCCCGCGAAAAGTGCGCAAGGTCTGTGGGGGACGTTTGGGGGTCCCCGAGGTTGAATTCAAAAGTTAGAGATGTTGTCGGCGGGGAAAATGCGGCCCTGAGGGGGGCCCTTGCGCTCAGCGTTGGCGCCTTCCTGCACAGAGTCCCATTGATCACCGTGAGCCCGACGATGATGGGCCATCAGCTCACCTTTGCCAAGGTGCCCATGGTGCATGAAGTCGCCATGCATTGCAACGTCAGGGTGTTAGAGCTTCATGCCTGTGCGTTTGGCGATGATACCTATCTTGACCCCTTCTCTCTCCTCCCTGTCCACCTTGAGGGCTTAACTCTGGAGATTGATGCCCTGGATGGAAGAGGGAGGCGCAGGGGCGATCACATGCACTGCAGCTGTGAGGGGAGGAGGGAATGTATGAGCTACTGCCTCCCCCCATCCTTTTATTCTAGAGTGACCGCTGCGTTTGCGAGTTCATGGCAGATATGTGCTCATGAGATGTGCGGCGAGAAGGCTGCCGAGGAAGTTGGGGTGGATAACTTCTGGCGGCCTCTTGATCCGTTCTTGTCCTGGGACTGAATGCTGTGCTCGCCTTGGTCCGTGTTGGTTTGTTGGATGGGACCCCTGATGTCACGACAGCATTGCATGTACGGATCGGCTCCGAAGTGAGCCCTCCTTGTTCCTTTTTCCTTGCCCCCCCTTTTTCCCAATCCAAGAATAGGCCACTTATGTACAGGCCTTGACATCGCCGAGCCGAGCCGAGCCGCCGAAGAGGAGGGAGTGGAGGTGGACGAAAACGAGGATGCGGGTGCCAGCACGGATCAACATCGAGCTGAAGGAATGGGCGATGGTTCCTCCTTGGCGCAAGGGCATCGGACGCACGGGCGTGACGAAGTCCTGTTGGCCTGGGCTGCTGTGCCTAGACAGACGCAGTTTTTCTAATAAATCTGCCCGCGTCGGGATCGTCGTCACTGAGCTGTAACGGGAACTGCCTCCAAACTTCTCTACACGGCTAGGGCCTCTGAGCGTGTCAGAAGAGTCGAACGCCGTCCCAGGAACCCCCTCCTCCTCTTCCTCCTCCACCTCCTCCTCCTCTTCCTCCTCCTCCCCTTCATACTATGAATTGCTCCTCCTCCTCCTCCTGCTCCTCCTCCTCCTCATGATCATCATCCTCATCATCACCGTCAGATATTCCTCCTCTTCCTCCTCCTCCTCCTCATCATCACCCTCCTCCTCCACCTCCTTTTTACGTTGAGCGGAGAGTAAGTGATCTGGTTGCTGCGTCCTCCTTCTCCTCCTCTTCTTTCTCCTCTTCCTCCTCCTCTCCCTCCTTCTCGTCCTCTTCCTCCATCTCCGTGCCAACCCTCTCCCAACTCTCATCCCCCTCTTTTCCCTCCCCATTCACCTCTTCCTCCCCATCCTCCCTCCTCCCCCTTGTCTCCCCCCCTTCTTCCTGTCGCCTGACGCTGACGGCCGTCGCGCCCCGCGCGCGGGACCAACGCTGCCACCCTAACTACCGTTCCTCCCTCCCCCCCCCCGGCATCGCATGGCACATGGACGGGCGCCCTCAAAGGTTCGTACAAGGGAGGTTGCGTCAAAGCGCGGGTTAGAGGGAAGTCTCTGTGGACGGCCCTCAGAAGAAGTAGATATGAGTCTCTAGCAGGTTTCGTTCCCCAACCCCGCATTGGGCTAAAACGTCCCCCACCTCCCCCACCCCCAGGACTCAGGACTGCGAACCTTCGCATCCTTCCAAGGGCAACGGCCCTCGACGCCCTCCCACCTGGCGACGCTGAAGGAAAGAAAAAATGACGAGAGAGGAAACAGAACGACCAAACGGCAAACGCGACACTAAAGCAGGCGGAAAGGAGGGCTGTGGGTGCCTGCTTGCGCCGGTGGCGGGCAGTGCTCGCGCGGTGGTGGCCCGCGGCAGAGCGGCGCCAGAGCGGTGGCGGAGCGGCGGGTCGGCTCTCCTCCAGATGTTCACGGAGGTATCAAAACATCTTCTTAGAGGCCGGCCCTCAACTGTCCCAACCATGAAACCGGGCTTATTCACCCGATCTTTAGCTCACCCGGAACCTTAAGCTCACCCGATCCTGATACTCAACTCACCCGGTCTAGCTCACCCGGTCCTTAACTCACCTGGTCTTAACCCACCCGGTCAAAGTCACCCGGCCTTAACTCACCAGGCGCCTAATTCATCCTGTGCTTAACTCAACCGGCCTTAACTCAACCAGCGCCCAATTCACCCGGTGCTTAACTCACCTGGCACTGAACTCACGCGGTGCCCAAGCCACCCTACACTTAACTCACCTGGAACCTAACTCACCGAGCGCCTAACTCACCCGGTGCCTAACTCACCCGGTCCCTACCTCACCTGGTCTCTAATTCACCCTGTGCCTAACTCACCCAGTCGCTAGCTCACCCAGCGCCTAACTCATCTGGTGCCTATCTCATCCAGTGCCTGACTCACCTGGTGCCTAACTAACCCGTTGCCTAACTCACCCGGTGCCTACCTAATTTACCCAGTCTCTAGCTCACCTGATCGCAAACGCACCCGGTCGCTGACTCAACTGGTGCTTGACTCACCCGGTGCCTGACTCACCTGGTGCCCCAGTCACCCAATGCTCAACTCATCCCGTGCCCATTTCACGTGGCACCCCAGTGACCCTGCGCCTCACTCACCCGGCGCTTCACTTACCCAGCCCTGCCTCGCTTGGCGCCTGGCTCACCCAGCGCCTGACTCACCCGGCGTCTATCTCACCCGGCGCCTGACCCACGAGGCGCCTAACTCACCTGGCGCGTCATTCTCCGGTGCCCAACTCACTCGGCGCTTAACTCACACGGCCCCTGACTGACCCAGCGCCTACCTCACCTGGAGCCTGACTCACCTGCGTCTAACCCACGTCAAGACCAACAACTTCAGCGTCCGCCTCCTCATCCGCCTCCTCCTCCTCCTCGTGTTCTCCCTCCTCCTCCTCCTCCTCCTCCTCCTCCTCCTCCTCCTCCTCCTCTTCCTCCTCATCCGCTTCTTCGTCGTCGTCGTCCTCCTCCTCCATCCTCCACCCCCTCCTCCTCCTCCTCCTCCTCCTTCTCCTCCTCCTCCTCCGTCTCTTCATCCTCCTCCTTGCAATCCTTATCATGTTCCTCATCTTCGCCCTCCTCTTCGTCATCTTCGGGGGACAGGCGCGCAAGGCGCACCGACGACACAAAGCGGACACGGCCGCGGCGACGACGTGACCGACGGCGACGCGAGCTAAAAGAAGAAGGTGGAGGAGTAAGAAGAGAACAGGAGAGAAACAGGCGCAAGGCTCACACCGCTCACCGAATGCCTACCTTACCCGACGCCAAGCTCATCTGCTTTGGAATAAACCTGGCGCCGAACTCATCTGGCTGAACTCACCCGGCCCGTGATTCACCTGGAGCCTAAACCACCCAGCGATTAAAAGAGACGCTACAAAACGCCGCTGTTTTGGAGACCGCGCCACCCTCGGATGGGAAAGCAAGCGCAAGCTGGCACATGCAGGCGACGCGCTACACAATGCTGCTGACGCGAGACAGGAGCACGCTTATGAGAAAACGCCCGCGCCGACACAGGAAAAAGAGCTACAAAACAAAACCTGTTTTCAATTGCACCTCCAACACACGCTCACGAAACAACGGCGCACTGGCACAGGGAGGAACCCGCTACAAAACGCCTGTGTTTGATGCGGCCACAGACGACTTCATGACCAGTGTAAAAAAAGAAATGCCACACGGCCACACGCGCAGCTACAAAATGTCAATGCTTTCTCAAAATAGCCCAACTTACCCAGACCCAACCTCACGAATTCGGAAGCGGATCGGCCAAACATCGGATCGGACGGAATCAGACGCACGCGCATCAAATCTGACTGAAATCGACACGGCCCTCGAATCGGAGTCGGCATGGAAAACATCACATCTGAATCGAAATCGAAATCGGAATAGCATTCCACCCAAGTCTGGAACCTGCAGAGGAAGCCGTAGGAGGAGGAGGAGGCGGAGGAGGAGGAGGGAGGACGACGAAGAGGACCCCCCCACCTGCATCCCAAGAAGATCTGGCCGTCGCCTGCTTAACCCTGCGCGCCCGAACCCAACTTAGAACGCCTGAAAGGGGGCAGACCACCGCTGGAAGGCAGGCCCTTTGGGCGGTCTCCTGCACTACGGCAGGGGGCCGCGTCTAAGGTACCCAGGTCCTCAGAGACCACCCACCCTGCAGTCAGCAGCCAATCCCCCGGTCCAGATCCCCCTGTCTGTCCGGGCCGCAGACTCCCGGTCTGGATCTCTCGGTCCGAACCCCACCTGGCGCGAAACTCACCCAGCGCCTAATTCACCCGGCGCTTGTGCGGAAAACTAGGCGCCACAAAATGCCGATGTTTTGGAAAGCACCCCGAGCCCACGCTGAACAAAGAACAACGCACTGACACAGGGATGAGACGCGCTACAAGACGTCGTTGATCCGGAGACGACCAGGACGACCCCAACTGGTGGAAGAGAAGTGGCAGAGCCAGGTAACGAGGTACAAGATGACGATATGTCGTTCGTTTTCGTTTGTCTGCTTGTTGTCCCTGTGTCGTTTTCCCCCAGCCTTCCCCTTCCTTTTCCCTGGCCGCCTTGTGTGGAGCGCAGGGCGCGCGCTTCGCGCGGTGCCAACGTTGGGCTCAACCCTCTCCCTCTCCTTTCTTTTCCTCCTTTTCTCTGTTTGTCTGCGTCGTTTGCTGCCTTTACTCCCCCCCCTCCCTCTCCCCCCCGCCTCATCCTTCCCTCCTTTCTTTCCCGCCCTTGGCCTATGCAGCCCGCGGAATTTTCCAAGCTTCTCAAGCTTCTCAGCCAACGCAACGCCGGCCTCTCTCTTCCGGGCCAACGTGCCAGCTTACGACCGCGACACATTGTTTGAGCAATGTTATTCCCGAAGGCGACTGCTTTGCGTCTGGCGCGCGTGCGATGTTTGAACATGGCGAGACTGTCGATTCGCAGGGCTGTAAGAAAAAACTGATATACAAGTATATGCACACACATACATACATACATACATACATACATACATACATACAGACAGACAGACAGACAGACAGACAGACAGACATACAGACATACAGACATAAAGACATACAGACATACAGACATACAGACATACAGACATACAAACATACATACATACATACATACATGTACATATATAGACATGCGCGTTCGAGAACCCAACTCTTAAAGAGATTTGCCATCCACGATGGTGAGCACTCGTAGATTCAACACTCATGCTGCCCATCGACCAAAATTACTCGACTGCAAGAACCTATAAAACGTGATTCGTTCTACCATGGTTGACCAACGCCCTACAAGATCAAAACCACAACTGCAACGCAACGTGCTTTTGCACAAGATAATCCAAGAAAATCGCTTCATGCGCATGTAACATGTGCAAAATGCCGCACGTGCGGGCGCTGTCTTTTTAGAGGGTTATATCTATATAGACACATATATATATATTAACCGCATAAAAAATGTTCGCCTTCGAGAACATGTTCTCTCGAAGTGGAAACGAATTCGCAAAAATCGTGCTTTCCTTTTCTCCGGAAAAAACTGAATAAGTGTACTGAATAAGTCTGCAAATGATATTACACATTCGAATCATGCACAAGCGATCTCAATCTCAAATGATTTAGACCAATACGAATCACAGAAGGCTTCAAGTTGAAAGCAAAGTCACTGAAATCCTTAAATTGAAATTTGGAAGTTCGAACCCAAACAATGAACAAACTAAAACGAATATGCTCGTATTCCGTAGAAACAACAAAAAGCCTATTGTTTAACACCGAAAAGAAAACGCTGGGAATGCCTGATGACACTAACTCCTGACTTCTAAATTAGCTTCCAACAAAAATACTGTGTCTTACTTCATTGCTTGAACATTGTGGCATAGAATATTGAATATAACAACATCGCGCTCGACAAAAACCGATCGCAATGTTTTTGGCTTGCAGTTTGTCTCGTTGCGCCAGCTCCACTAGAACTTAAAAATAACTGGCGCCGCACGTATTCTTCACGAGGTACGAACTTGGAAATCTAGAATGCAAAATCTTGAATGCAAGGTGAAAACTGAAACGCTCAGATAACGTATTCTGAATTAGTTTTGCAACTTAAACAAATGTGCGAGCCCTTTCCCAATCAAATGATATTGGATCATACCTTCACTGAGCATACAAAATAAGCATGAAATATGCTGGTGTTTCGTCCTCCCGATCGTTAGGTTTTCTCTGGTCACAAAGAATGCTATGCTTGATATTTCCGCATGTGAAATTTGCGAGCATAGACCACTCCAACCATAGTTTTGAAACATAATGAACGTATACTGCCATGAAATACTCAATGATATCATGAAAGGGCAAAACACAATATTACACTGAATCAACTAGAAATGTCAACTGTTGAAACCGACGCGTCTTCACTAGCAACTAAATTGCGACTGGTTCATTTTTTTGACTGGATGATTGATTATCACTGCATATTACACAGTTGCTGACTCAACTCAGTGAACCCTTAAAAACAACATGCAAATTCTGCGCCAATGGATCTAACTTGAAAACGCATTCCAACCAAGATTCGCAAAAAAAGAGGTCTCAATGTCTCGCTGAAACTGGCATGTCTAAGTATGTTTCAAATATATCGCGCGCCGCGAACCAACCAGTGTCAACGCGTCCGAGACGAGGAGCGCAATGAAAATGTCACGGGGGAAACAAAATTAAATGTCTCAAATACTCGCACTGGAAACAGGCGCAACCCCAGTTTTCTGCAACGACGTTTCTCGGCAGCGGCGGGGCGATCTTGCCACTCAACGGAAACAAGCCAAAACTCTCTCTCTCGCTCTCTCTCTCTGTATATATGTACATACATACATACATATACATTCATAAATATGTGACCGTATGTATGTGTATATGTACAT